ATTCATTACAGGGCTGCAGATTAATAGCCAGTAATGTAACTAACCCGTTCATCGAATAAAGTCAGCCGGTTCTTCCGGCAGACCTAACCGTCAATTATCTCGCATGGCGAGAACGGGCCCTTCGGGAAACGCGACGCGACCGGCTGGTTGCAACCCGCGGATGCATTTCCGCGTAGTTCGAGCGCGATGGTGGTCGGCCGACATCTGGCTGACGTGGCCGGGGCAATTCGTGAAATTCGTCGTTACACGGTGCACAGATTACGCGCGGTTTAGCCGAGCCGCCGGAAACGGTTTACATATTGTACACGGAAGCAATTATCGCAAGCGCACGCTGCTGTAATCGAGTCGAGCGACGCGCCGACACGCTTTAATTGCCCGACAGCTTCACGTCCATCCCTGGCGATTAATTTGGGATTTTTCTAAGTGTCAAATAGATCTGTAAATTATATAATGCGGAGCGCAACGTAATAATTAATATAAAGTTATAAAACACGCGGTTTCGTATTTTTGTTCTCCTAAATAGATTAGACAGAATGGTGCATGTAGACGTAAAATGACATTGATGAAGTACCTTGCATTTTTGTCGCCTTCGAAAGTCGTAAGTTGATGTTTTAATGCTAAATCAATATAAGTACTTTGCGTACCTCGATATTATGTGATTATCATTGTATCGCTAGAACGAGAAACGTCAATGGCATTCCGTGACTCGAAGAGATAAAAGAATATACATACTTTATTTTTTAATAGAACTTAAAATCAATTGAGCGATAAAAATAACAAGTTAACACACTTAAAGCTCTTGCTCGCTATATGCATAAAAAAGAAGCACACACATAAACATCTTTATGACAATAAAAAGATATCAATTATAATAAATTGCAACTAAATTGCTTCAATAATATACATTGAAATCCATCAGAGTTATATAAACTTTTAAATTTTCTGAAAATTATTATAATCAAGCCTCAGAGCTACGGTCGTATTCAATACGTCATTATCTTCCGCTTGACTACGATTTACGAAAGCAATTGTTCCCACATCACATTATTTTGCTCTAACGTTAAGGCACTTTATGGACATCGACAATCTGAGTACCGATCAACCGGAGTAAAGTACTTTTTCAATCTGTTCGAATCGATCGGGGCTCGCCGTCGAACAGATCCATCCATCTGTCTGTCTCGTCTTCGCTCGCTCGGTCGGAATTCTACGCTTCAGTATCCCATGATTTCCACGTGATATCCACGCGTGTTACGTGCTAGATCCCACGCACGGTCTCGTCTCCGTCGAGGGCAATACACCGAGTGAACCTAACGAGATTTCAATAGCCGTGATCTTTGCTGTCGGTTACCGCAAATAGGCTCGATCCTGCGGTAACGTCTAGCGAGCGATGAATGCTAAGCATAGAAATGCGGAACCACTCCGCAGCGAGAGGGATAATGTGCGGTAAATAGAAGAATGTTATGAACTCGCATGAGATACTCGCTATACTTGTCGGTCCGCAAGTATCCCTCGAGAGAGAGAGAGGTCACGAAAGCAGAACGTACCGTTTTAACGCCCGATAAAAATAATTTTGACTGAAGCGAAGAGGATAATATATTCTCCGCGTTAATAAAGGACAGATATCATCTAATTATCGTCTCAGCGATGAGAATAGCTGGTTACAAAATTAATTTACGTCAAAATGATTAATTTGAAAAACGTTTCGGAACGAGATCGTATATAAATTTTAAATTGTGTTTCAGCATAGAAACCCACGTACGCAAAGGTTTCCAAGCTACGCAACGAATCTATTATAATATTTTTCACGTAGATCATTAATATAATTTGTCGCTGGTACCTGATCACGATAATGACTCGTTATTTCGAAGAGCCGTAAGTAATTAACGTTTCATATATTTACCTGCAAAAATTTGACGACAGGAGTGTCAACGAATTGTCGCGTGTTGCATCCGTATAAAACATTGATTTTTAATTTATGCATAAGCGAGGCTTATCGCTCGAGCGATTATTAATTAATTTTGCGATTAGTTTTCACGAATCTCGCTACGGCTTCGACGCATCGAGCAGAATCGAAAGTAAGAAGGGCGAAAAGAAGGAGGAACCGCAGATAGATCTGAGTGTCATTAATCAAGGCCCTCGAAGTGCGCTAAATCACCCGCGAGATATAAATTACCGCGGGCAATCTGGTATCAATAAGGCGTAATTCGGGATAATAGGGCGTGTGAGAGAGGGCGGACGCGCGGGAGGATATATAACTCCTGATTTCCGAGGGTGCTGTAGATTTCGATTAACCCGTGTCCGTCCGCCTGTCCGAGAGACGAGTCGCGACATTTCTCTTCGTTACACTCCTCTCGTCTCTCGAGCCTTCGATCCTTCGCCTTCGTATAAATGATTTAACGGACGCGCGCGCGCACGCATTGCAGGAATCCGACTATTCTCAAATGTGAAAGCGACTATCACGGTGTGTAAGAAAACGTAAAGATAACGAAAGCTAGCGCAGATGTCTGGTCAACTCACTCTTACGCACTTCAACGAAGATAAAATGCAAAATATGCATCGATGGATTTTAATATTTTTATGAATTTAAGAATGATTATCACTTTTTCAGAAGAAGAGAGTCACGTTATTTCATTAAGTCACAATCTTCAAAATCAAAGTACCATTAATCTATCTTCTTATTAAGCCGCGTGAAGGAGATTCGGTGTTGTTAAAATATTTATCCGGATTTCATCCAAAGAAAGAAGAACTGTTATCGTTGCCGTAGAGTAAATGAATCCTATTTCCACTTACTCATGGTATCTATTTTCATGTATCTACTTACTCATGTACTATTTTCAGTAAGATAAATCACATCTGATTTAAACAGTAGTGATCTCGTATATATATATATAATACTGTTATATTAAATAACGACTATAAAAACTTAATACTCAATCTTATTTTCCAGTCCTAATAATTGTTCCTGTGATTCAATGGCGATTCAAAGAGAGCACAGAGCTCACCTCGATATATGTCGATGTAAAAAAAAAAGAAACGCGTGAGGCATAATATCCAAATCAAAGCACAGATCGTCCGAAGCTCTTCCCTTGTATCGACAAATCGCGAGATTCGTCGGTACGATACGACAAGCGGCGCGGCGCGGCGCGGCGCGGCGCGGCTAATTAGTTATCCTCGATACATCTGGCCGATGGATAATTAGCCGCTACGGTTTATACGTGCGATAACTCGCCGCTCGCGCGCGCACCGTTCTCGACGACCCGCTGGGATTTGTTTCCGCCCGTGAAAACAATTTGTTTCTCATTCCATCGGAACCGAACCCCGTCATCATCGGCGCCAGAATGGGATAAACCCTTCCCTCTCGCGCCCGCTTCTCCCTTTCGACGTCTGTCCTCGTTCCTCCCGCTTCATTTCCACGGCCCTATTACATCGTTATTAGGCTCGTAACAGACGTGTAAGCGTTCCGGGGAACACCCCACTGGGTTATTAATGGTGACTCTTTGTTTTTTCATACTCTCCACGCCCGATGGCCACGGTGTACTCTTTTTCTCCTCTTCTCCTTTTTTCTCCCCCCCCCCTCTTTCCCCCCTCCCCCCCCCACCTCCCCCTCCCCCTCTTTCTCTCTCCGTTCTGTTTCACTACCTTCTTCTATCATTCGTAACGGTCTCTCACTTCCTCTCATTAATTCGGGATACTTCTTTCCGTTTCTTTCCCCCTTTATCTTCCCGCTTCCTCTTTCCTTTATCTTCCTCTCTCTCTCTCTCTCTTTCACATCTTGAATAAATTAACGTAAGCGTGAGTATTAAAGTAGGTGTCAGGTATTCTGATGCGAATGAGCTCTCTGCCTCGCGCGGTGACAAATTGGTAGCACAGGTAAGAGGATACCTATCGCGCCCCGTGATACTCACGAGAGAGAACAATCGTCGAAAGGGCGTGCACGCGCTCTCCTCCGTGTGGAGAGAAAAAAAAGGAAGGGTTTCGCGAGAACCTACCGCGGCGGTAGAGATTTCGACAGTTGTCCTATTCTTGCCGCACGGTTGTTTCAGCGCGCGTGCTACCGTTCGTGTCGCCTGTCGTGAAATCTCCCATGAAATCTCTTCGACGAGATCTCAGATCTCCGGTCTCGATCGCGGACAAACCGCTCTATTCGCTTTTACGACTGTCGTTGCGGTTTCTTGTCTAAAGTTCCAGATTACGAGCTATCTATTTTTGCGCGTAAAAAAGATTATTAGACGAAAGAAAATCTATCAATTCATTTCATCGATAAGATTTGGATTTCTTGAGGCCGGAATATGCGCACAATCGATGAATAATGAGAAGATGACAAGCGAGTAGAATCCAACGAACAAATCGACTTCTTAAAGACGAAATCGGTTATTTCATGATCAATTTTTATTTAATTTTGAAGAAGGGAATTTTAAAGAAGAGAATTCTATACATATTATATACATTAATTATACGATGAAATAAAAATAAGTACTCTTATAGT